CCTAGACCCTTCATCAGATGAAGGGTCTAGGCCCGAAACGTCAGCCTCTCTGCTCCTATGATGCTGCTTGGCCTGCTGTGTTCATCCAGCCCTGCACCTTGTTGTCTTGGATTCTCCAGCATCTGCAGTTCCTACTATCTCTGATTCATATATATAAACTAGCCTGGTTTTGGTATCAGTGCAATTTTTCAAGTTTGCAGCTAATTTAACAACATTGTCAATCATGAGAATGGTTGCAGGTTTAGGAGGACACCAACAGCCTTTGGGCATTATGGCAAGATTCCATTTCAGGCCTGTACCTATAAGCCATGAAAATGCCTTCATGACATGTAAGGTTCCAGTTTTAAAAACCACACACACCTTACCTTGTGTGATGGAGCCAGTTTGTGTACGGAACATACAGTAGCATCAGTAATTACAGAACCCAGACTGTGAGCAAATCTATGATATAGTAGCCATGTAAATAGTTAGCATTGCAAATGAACTTTAACATATCTGACTCAAAAAGAACCCAAGTCTCTAATATATGTTAAATATACTAATATACAGTAAACCTCAAGCTGCATCAGAGCAGACAAGTTAGATACAATGGTGTGAAGTGATGCACTAAAAGAAAAATATGTGATGAGGTAGTATAACTTAAGTAACATGTTTTAATTTTAGGCAGATGCATAATCATTCACAAATCTTTGAAATGAAGCGTAAGTTGATGAAGGTGATTAAGAATGAATATGGAAAGTGTGGTTTTGTAAATTAGCGTATTAAATACAAAAACAAAGAAGCCCTGCTAATCTACTACTTGGGCCTTAGTTGTGGTATAGTATACAGTCTAAAGACCTGCACTTTAGCAGGGTAGCAAAAGACTTGGAAGCTGAAGACGAGGTTGGCCAGGGTGAGAAACTGGATGAACAGGAATTGTTCTCCTTAGAGCAGAGAAGGTTAAGATGAGATCTATTGGAGGAAATTAAAATGCAGTGATTTGGATAGAATAAGTATGGAGAAACAGGGTGAATCAGCAATGTGTATACCTTGTTTCAATTTAGTATACTAAGTCGCTGCTTACATGTAGTCTCCTCTGCACTGGGGAGACCAAATGCAGATTGGCTGACTGCTTTGTGAAACATCCCCATTCAGTCCACAGTGTAAGCTTCAACTTCTGGTGGTTTACCATTTTAATTCCCCGCTTTTAGAATATACACAAGTACAGGAGTACAGTGAAAAGTTTTTACAATAGCTGCCTTTAATGGCGTCATCTTTGGTGTAAGTACCTAGGTACAAATCTAGACACAAAAGAGGAATAAAAGGAAAAGTAGTAGCATTACTTACAGTATTTTTTAAAAAAGTTAACAATAGGGTAGTCATAACATAGTTGAAGGATTGATATTATAGTCCGGTAAAGAATTTCAAGTAGTAGCAGCTCAGCACGTGGTCTGACTGCCCACGCCAGGCCCCAGTCCAACAACTATCCTGCTCTATTCCAAGCCTCCAGTCCGCTCCACACTGGCACCTCGCTGCACCAAGGTAACTTGTGCTACTCTGGGACCCGTTACCCCCTCGTGCTACTCCAGGCCCCATTTCCCTGCACTTTGCTGTCTCTGACCTCTACACTTGTCCTATTGCAGTGTTCCAGTGAAGCTGAACACGAGCTGAAAGAATAGCACTTAATATTCCAGTTTAGCACTTTATAGCCTTCCATTGAACAGGATGTTTAGTTCAACACTTTCTGAATGTAACTTATGCACTCTTCTTTGTATTTTGTTTGCATGCATAATCCTTATCTTGCTTCTTTCATTTTTACTTTTGATGGCAAGTAATCATCATTCACTCTTCCTCTGGGCTCATCATTCGTTTCTTTCATCTTTTTGCTCCTGCCTGACCAACTCTTGCCATAATGTTTCCAACCTTCAACTAATGGCAGACACTTCTTTTTCCTTCCATTTTGCCCCCTGCTTATTTCACACATTTAAAAGCCGTCACAATTCAAACTTTATTTCTAATGAATAAAGGATCGTGACCTGAAATGTTAACTGCTTCTTTCCCCTCAGACCTGCTGAGTATTTGTAGCATTTTCAGTCAATACTAGGGAGAAATTTCACTCTGGTAATTAGATTGATCACCAATTATTTTTAAATCTTTGGCTTTTTGTTAAGAAACTTGTTGAGCTAAGAAGAGAATTCAGCAAGTATCTGCAAGAAGAGTGTTAAGATTCGGAACATGGAAAGAATGCAGAGTCAGATTTTATTGCAATTTCCTAATTTAGTTGGACATATTTGAGAAAAGGACTCATATGGGCAAAGGACTCATCTGGACTACTCTTAAAATAGTAGCACGGGAACAATGGAGCAAATGGTCTCCTCTTGTGTTGCACCAGACACAGTTAAATTTACATCTTACCATGTCACTTTTGTCACGAATTCTGTCATTCTTGTTATGAACTCTTTCGTCAACAGCTACACTGATTTCACGCATCTCTTTGTATGCAGGGCTTGGAATTCCGTTCTGGATGAAAACATTGGATCATGATTTAGTTATAATTTTGTAAAGAGAATTTAAATTACAAAACAACTTTCTATATACACAATATAATTGTGACAACTGTGCAATTAATTCTCTTCGCAATTTTTCCGTATTATGAGCAGGTACCCAATTTGCTAAATTACCAAATTAAAATATTAACAACAATTCGTTACAATGAAATATGCAATTAAAGCAACAGTGAGTATTACAGGTTTTTGGATATATCCAGACATTTCCACAAAGGCATCACAAGTTAGATGGATGTGATCCATTGAGAAAGTTGGAATACTGAGCAGCTTACATTTAACAAAGTTTAATCCCGTGCTCATGAATCAAAATTGGAAATGCCCATGTTAAGGCAATTATGGAGAAAAAGGAGTTTGATGCAAGCATTGTTTAAAAACAAAGCTGATCAAATTCTTGGCTTAATATGCTGATGGACTTGCAATTTTGTTTTCTAACCATTTAAAAAACCAGCTACTTCTAAATCAACCCAGGTTTCCTGTGCACTTAAACTTCAAAGAGTTTGGTCTTCTGCCAATTGTAGTCTTTCAGCAATTATTTCAAAGCTGACAACTTTTGTAGATCAAAGCTGCATTGGTAAAAGTCTCAAGTTGAAGACGTCTAACTCCAGAAATTAAATTTTCACTGTTTCCATTGCAGCTGTTTTACATAGCTTACTTGGCTGTAGCATTGAAATTAGTCCTCACTGGAGAAACATGGACAGTACAATTGTAAAATGAAGCTTAGCTTCCTATTCCTAGCATTCATTTCCTCAACAAAATGTGCAATAGCCCTTGAATCTTATTGCAGCATTGTCAAAACTATTATTTGTAAGTGAAAGTATTTTCCTTTCTTCCGATTAGTTATGCTAAATTATTACATATACTAATCACTTCTCAGTTGCTTTTGAATCAAGTTCTACAAGTTCAAGATGATCCCAGAATACTGTAATCCCTCATGATGTAGATGATTGCAGATCCAGTACCACAAAAATTTAAAGCTGTTGCCCCATGATAAAGCATGTTGAAAAAATTCAATATACAAATATTGCAAATATATAAAGTTAGCTTAAATTCTGTAGTGGAGAAAAATGCTTGAATATATAATCAAGGAAGAAATAACGAGATATCTGGATAGAAATTGACACATCAGGCAGACACAGCATGAGAGCCAGGTCGTGTTGAACTAATTTAATGGAATTCCTTGAGGTCATTTTGAGTGTAGTGGACAATGGGGAACCGGTGGATGTGGTGTATGTGGATTTCCAGAGGATTTCAACAAGGCGCTGCTCAAAAGGCTGCTGCACGGCATTATAGGTAATGTATTAGCATGGATACAAGATTAGTTAACTAACAGAAAGCAAAGAGTGGGGATAAAAGGGTGTTTTCTGCTTGGCGGTCAGTGGTTAGTGGTGTGACTCAAGGATCAGTGTTGGGACAGCAATTGTTTACAATTTGTCATCATAGAATCATAGAATCCCTACTGTGTGGAAACAGGACCTTCAGCCCATCAAGTCCACACCGATCCTTAGAGCATCCCACCCAGGCCCATTCTCCAAACCCACCTAATCTACACATCCCTGAACACTACAGGCAATTTAGCATGATCAATCCACCTAACCTGTACATTTTTTCACTGAGGAAGGAAACCGGAGCACCCGAAGGAAACCCACTCAGACACAGGGAGAATGTGCAAACTCCTCACAGACAGTCACCCGAGGGTAGAATTGAACTCGGGTCCCTGGCGCTGTGAGGTGGCAGTGCTAACCACTGTGTCGCCCAAAATCAGTGCACGAGAAATTCAGCATCAACACCACCCCCAAGGAACATCCCACCCAGACTCACTTCCCACCCTATAACCGTACATTTCCCATCCATCTAGTCTACACATCCCTGGGCACTCTGGGAATTTAGCTTGACCAATCCATCTAATCTGCACATCTTTGGACTGTGGGGGGAAACCCACCCAGACACGGGGAGAATGTGCAAACTCCACACAGACAGTCACCTGAGGGTGGGATTGAACCCAGGTCCCTGGCACTATGGCACAGCAGTGCTAACCACTGAGCCACCTGAGTTCAAGTTTACGTAGACAGTTTAGAGTCAGGACCAAGTGTAGTGTGTCAAAGTTCACAGATCATACTAAGATGAGTGATCAAGCAAATTGTACAGAGGACACTGAAAGTTTATAAGAGGGGTATAAGTAGGTTAAGAGAGTGGGCAAGGGTCTGGCAGATGGAGTACAATATTGGTAAATGTGAGATTATCCATTTTGGTAGGAGTAACAGCAAAATGGACTATTATTTAAATGGTGAAAAGTTGCAGCATTCTGCTATACAGAGGCACCTGGGTATCTTTGTGCAGGAATCACAGAAAAATTATTTGCAGGTACAGCTGGTAATTAAGGTGACAAATGGAATATTGTCCTTCATTGCTAGAGGGATGGAGTTTAAAAATTGGCAGGTTATGCTGCAGCTGTATAGAGTGCTCGTGAGGCCACCCCTGGAGTACTGTGAATAGTTTTGGACTCCTTACTGGGGAAAGGATATACAGGTAATTCTGCTATAATGCATGTTTCGTTAACACAAATTGGCTGTAACACAATTGAATAGTGAATGCTGTTTGGATAACATGAACTTTCTGCTGTACTGGTATAGTGATTTTCTATAGCAATTCCCCTATAACATCATTTTCTATAGCACAAGGTCACACAAGAACATAACTATCGGGTTATTTGAGAACTATCTGTACTAGCACTGGAAGGGGTGCAGAGAAGGTTCACTAACTTGATTCCGGAGTTGAGGGGGTTGGCTTATGGGGAGAGATGGAGTAGACTGGGACTATACTCATTGGAATTTAAAAGAATGAGGGGGGAATCTTATAGAAACATATCAAATTATGAAGGGAATAGATAAGATAGAAGCAGAGAGATTGATCTACTGGCAGGTGAAACTAGAATCAGGGGACATGGCCTCAAAATAAGGGGGAGAAGATTTAGGACTGAGTTAAGGAGGAACTTCTTCACCCAAAGGTTTGTGAATCTGTGGAATTCCCTGGCCAGTGAAGCAATTGAGCCTATCACATTGAATGTTTTTAAGGCAAAGATAGATAGATTTTTGAACACTAATTAAATTAAGGGTTATGGTGAGTAGGCAAGTGGAGCTGAATCCACAAAAAGGTCAGCCATGATCTTGTTGAATGGCGGACCAGGCTCAAGGGGCCAGATGGCCTACTCCTGCTCCTATTTCTCATGTTCTTATTTTTGTATTCAAACAAAAAAAAAATCAATAAAGTCACTTCAGGAAAAAAAATCTGGCAGCGTTTCTGTCTCTGAAATTGACAGTCCTGTCCCTAAAAGGTCACAGGAGGAATCCAAAGGATGTGACCTACACTGTTATAAGCCAGATTTCCAATTCCCAGACAGTTCAGTGATAAACAGCAATGTTACCAAAGGAAGACAACATGCATGCCTCCAATTTCCCTTGTGATATTTTCATTTTATTGTTTTGAAACAAAATAGATTTTCTACAGACACCCATTTTGGGAATTACTTATTTCAACGAAAACAATGCTGTGTTAAACTGTCTCTTTAAAACAAGCATACCCAAAAAGATGATGATATATTACCTTCAAAATGTCTCTCATTCTGGAATGCTGTCGAAAACAGCCTCTTGGCACAAGAAGTCAAGAAACAGTAAAGTCCCTTTTAGCACCAACGTCCTTTACTTCGAATTGAAAGCTGCATTTTTGATCTTCTGGTAAAAGATTAACTTCTTGATTGAACGTTTGAACTTTAACTAATAGTTCTTCATACATTAACTCAGACTGAGTTAGAATTCTTGATGGTTTAGCAGTCTTAATGGAAATAAGTTGATGTTGCCAACTTAGCTTTCACTTGTAACTAACATTAAAAATGCATCACTGCATTTCAGCTGGTTAATTCATGCTGCTTGTGCATCATTTCAAACAGGGGTCATGCCTCATTTATTTGAAGACGCACAAAGCTCTTTGGTAAGAAAAAGTGAGGTGGAACATCAAGATTAGTCTTTATCTTACGATTGGAAGATGTCAGAAACATGGAATAAGACATAGACAAAAAACCCATAGCTATGGTTTGTATATGTATGTGTCAGCTTAAAAAATCAAAACAGACTAAAAATGCTCATGTTAGTAAGTAAATTTCAAGCACATTCAAGGCACAGATGAACAATTCAGCTGTCATATTGCCATAGAATATTAGACACAGAGTGAATATGTAATAATTAGCTGGCTGGAGAATAAAAGCCAACTTTATGTCATACATTTACCCAAGAGTTCATGACAAAAATCAGAGTTGAGTTAATGTCATCTGCAGCTTTGTATCTTAGTGGAAAACATATAGGGTGAGGAATCTTCTTATCTGCCCACATTTTTCTATTCAATAGGAACAAATTTAGTAAGTGACATACCTCCCACACTACCCACTCTATTTTCAGTTTGTTTACAAGGGATAAAAATTTAGAAACAGCTGTTTATCCTTGAAATGAGTGATAGTTGGAAAATTTCCCAGCTTTGCATGCCCACCTAGAAACAATGGCTCCAGAAGGTGAAATTTCCTTTGCTAGGGTTAGGAGCTGTCTGAAGAAGTCAGTCCAGTTGACCCCAGGAAAGATTCTGAGGCAGCTATAGGGGCTGTTGATTGAGGAGGCATGCAGTTTAAATGAGCTCAAATTGATCTGGTCCCAACTGTAATAAAAACAAAAAAGGCTCTGTAGCTTTCACCATCCCCAACACCTCACACTCCCAACTATCAATGCCCACCCTTCCAATTGCCCATCCTGCCTCAGAAAGCATTATTTTCTTGAAATAATTGTGTGCCAGCTCAATTGAGAACTCTATATAATCTCCGCTCTCAGTTCCACAATGTTTGTTTAGAAAAACACACGTGGTTTTAAGTATTGAAACTTTCAAACGAGCTGGATGATTGACATTGGTTTTCTT